AAAATCTTCTAATCAAGAATGGAATGGACAAAGCTTCTCAGGTGAGCAATTTGGCCCATGGGCCTCTTGTTATGTTAATGAGCAAAAAAACTCTCTGCAATTGCTAAGTTTTGAATAAATCCGGTCGTCCTTCCTAGTTGATATTATAAAAGTGCACATAAAATCAGAATCTTTAATTTCAGATAATATAAGTTATTATTATGAACTCAGTCAAGGAAGGATGAATGTTAAAGCTGACATGAACTCTTAAAAAGGCATCAGTTTTCATCTTTGTACGACTTACTACATTCCTGTACGCCCTTGTCCGCCATATTTCATCGATTCCGCCATTTTTAATCGAAGATTTTTGGCCACCCGTACCTGCTATATATAGCCTTGTAGAATTGTTTCACTTGAGTGATTTTCTAGCCTGGCTGTCGACATGTACACATCTCCGAAAGCATAGTTTTTAGAAGTCCATAAACTGAATAAACTGACCAAATACAAGTTTGAAAAGTAAGAATTCGACAAAAAAAAATGGAACTATACCGAGAATTAAATTATTTTTGAATGCATTTGCTGCAGTATAGAAAATACACTAACACGGAATGCATTCATATACAGCAAAAATCCATGAAGGTCGAGAAAACGCGTAAAACGCAGTGATTAAAGAATTTACCTGAATACTGCTATCGTTACAGGGATGTGCACATGTCGAAAGAATTATCCTATTTTACTTTTATTGAAAAATGCAACTCAGAAGTCATGTAATCCATTGCTAACTCAACAGTAGAAGATGCTTGGACACACGTGGCCCATGCCGATCATTTTATTTGGTCAGGGAAAATATCAAAGGTTGAAAGCTCAGTGGGGTTGATTGAAAAAAAAAGCAAGTAATTTTTTCAAAACTAAACATTACTCTTGTCTGTAAATGTTCCATATAGAATTTATGATTACATGGTTTAAATTCATTAAATTTATAATAAAGCATGCATTAGTACGAATCATTCACCTTTTGAAGATATTTTCCTGTGATAGGAGGGGGGGGGGTGTAATAAAACATGCATATTAACACTCATAAAAATAATTTTAGAAAAACGTCGGAAACAGATTGCATTTCTTTATGATCAATTATTATCAAATAAATACTGTGTATTGGCTTTATTAGACCTAATATAATTTGATTTAAAGTTATTTATAATTTTATGCACAATGAATGAAAACATACCCCACGCACACCCAAAAGTCGAAGTGCTGAAATTCCCAGAAAAAAATTAAGGAATCGTAATTTCATAGTTATATGCACATCTATGCACATTGTGTCCTGAATATCTGCAAGGTTTGACGAATTTGTGTGCAGCGGTTTATGAAGAATTGCGCTGACAAACTGCTCATCTTTATATTCAAGATATGGCCAAAATGTAAAAGTGCGGAAATTCCCGAAAAAATAAAGATTTCGGAATTTCCTGGTGATGTGCAAATCCAGACACATTCATGCGCGGATCTAGAGGGGGGGTCGGGGGGGGGGGGTCAGGACCCCCCCATGAATTTACCAGGTTAAAAAATGTATATACTAAAACAAGAAAATAGTTACCATGGACCCCCCTTGGAAAACGCAGACCCCCCTGGTAAACGCAAATATGTGTGAAATGGGTATGGCTACCCCCCCCCCCCCCCCCAATAGGTTTTTAACGTTTGGGCGAGTTAACGTTTTTTTTTTTTGATTTTTTTTTTTTTTTTTTTGTTTTTAAGAAATTTCCGGGATTGGATTTTTTTTTGACTGAGGTGGACCCCCCTGGAAAAAATTTCTGGATCCGCGCCTGAGTCATTGACTCCTATAAATATCTCGAAAGTTCGACAAAACTCTTTGCATTAGTTTATAAGAAGTTGCGCTGACCAAAAAAAAATAGGGCTGACTGATGGGTCCCAAACATTATACCTCACGCAACTTGTTGCGAGAGGTATAATAAACGAGTTTGATTCTGTGGTACAATGATAATGAAAATAGAATTTAATGTGAATTAAATTTCTAGACATAAATAATTAATGGTTACTAGAAAAAGCAGATAAAGAGAGAGAGGACCCCCCCGTGAGGATTTCCGCATTCTACCTACAATTACCTTTATAATAACTCCATTGTCTGTTTTCCAGGTTCAGCATATAAGTGTCGGAACCGGCGGGGGTGGCTTTTTTACAAATATATACTTAGTATAGACATTGAATATTGCTGCGTAGGTTTAGCCTCCCCCTCCCCCTCGCTTTTCATTTTCACAGACAAGTCGCAGTATAGGTTAAAAAAGAGGAAAGTGTTGGTGTTTGGAGAAAAATTTTGTTACTGAAGTTAGAACCTACCTCCCCCCTTTCCCCCACACGAAATAGGATATTCATGTTTAGGAAAAGGACATTTCCCCCTTTTATTAAGCTTGTAAGATTTTCTGAATGAATGAAAAAAACTTCTTTGCACTTAGCCCCCCCCCCCCACTTTCAATTTGCTTCCGACGACAATGTGTTGGAGAAGGTATTTGAGAAAGTTCCCGATGTACCCATTCCTGTAATGTATATTTCACGTTTATTTATCTCCCGCTTGAAAAGTGGGAGGGTATATAGTAATAGTTATGTCCGTCCGTCGGTCTGTTACGCTTTATGGTACCCATGTCTTATCCGCAAATCCTCTTATACCACTTTTGTGAAATTAAATAAAACTTTCACAGAATCTTATAGGTTTATTACATATTACCATTGTGCACCTCCTATTTTACTTTCTGATCCGACACGTATTTTGGGTTTAGCGACAACAGCAAAATATGGACTTTGCCATTATAACCATATGGGAAGCGGGATTATCATTTAGTGAGCTCATTGCTCACAATACCTCTAGTTTCTCTTTCAATTTTGCTTTTGGGTTAACTTCTCGTCCAAATTAAAATTATTATTCAATTTATGAAGTTTCGACATCCCGCCTGAAAAAAACCCTTGATCTGTCCTAAGGCTTAATAAATGGACAGCACAAAGTGCGTAGGATTATTATTATTGCCCTAAGGGATGGCTACAGAGTGAGAGAGAGAGAGGGAGAGAGAGAGAGAGTTAGTTCAATATACAAGAGTAAATAAAAATTATCCGTATTCAACCAGTGTCAAGACTCCCTACCCTAGCTTTTAAAATTATCTCCCAAATACTCCAACAGAAATTATTTTTATATATAAAAAAAAAATAGCTAGACTATCAAGCAGGGATACTGAAATCTCAAAAGTCTCTCTATAACACCATAATTATAAAACATTTATATATACATACCTCAAAATGCACATACTTTGTGGTCGGAGTGACACATTTAAAAAAATATTCAAAATTGAATTCGGCAGAGATGTCTGTCTTCCAAGAATATTTAGATAACGGTCATGTCAATTATTTTTGCAGCCCCCCCCCCCCGCCTAAAAAATCAAATGCCTAAATGTCAATCTGAATAGGGGATGGCATTTCTTCGTGTATTTGTGTGTTAAAGAACGTATAGATCTATGTACACATAAAAAATTGTATTCTGGTTAACTGCTTTTAAGATTTGAAGTAAATAATTACCGTACATCAAATTACTTGGTTTAGATTTGAGATTAGTACTACAATAATCAGTTATAATTGACAAATGGATTTTGCGACGCAAACCAACTGCAGACTATATACATGACTTTGTATAGAATGTATAATAGAACTACATGTAGATGGACAATTCACAATTATAGCTTCTGAACAGCAGTTATAATACCCTCCCCCCCCCCCCCCCCTTCTGCCGCGCAAATACCAAATAACTTCTCTTTCCACTTGTGATATTTTCCCTGACCAGAATCTGATCAGCACGGACTACGTGCTTGTCTGTACGGAGTAATGACAGTGTGTTTACTATTGAGCTTTTACGGAGTTTATTTCTTTTTTGTGATGCATATTTCAATAAATGGAATTCAGGGTGTATATCACTTGACTTGTGCACATCTTCGAACCGGTGCAGTAACCTTATTACCAGGTATGGGTACGTTTACAGCGTTCGAGGCGTTTTCTCGATATGCACCAATTGCATAGGGGCTGCAAATCAAAGACGTTGGTTGTTTTGTGCCATTCAAATGATAATAATTTCAAAATGTGTTTGCAGATTCTACTGCTTTTTATTTCAAGTTTATTCTGCATAAATTGGCGCACTGTAAAAATACGTACTCGTGCATCTAAATTTCTCACCAAACTTGCATTTTTTTTCTTTTGATTCAAATCAATAATTATTCAGAAATATGATTATTATTTTGTTTATTGTGGTTTTGAAATGTCTTGATCTCCTTATGTGTTCTCATATGCTTTACCATCGGAGATGTGCACAAGTCGATACCCAAACCAAAAAATCATTCAACTGTAACGAGCTCATTGGGGTATACATCGTTACAATGAGACAAGGTATCTGAAAGAAATATGGCGGAATACAGCTATCGTTGGTATGAAACAAGTCGTACATAGATGAAAATGTTGCGTTTTTAAGAATTCATGTCAGCTTTAACATCAATTCTCTGTAAGGACCAAAATTGCTTGGCCACGCACTATCATGGAATTTTATTTTATCAATATAATATTAAAGAGTGTCCTATATAAAGACTATAGGTGGGTTAATTTTGGACAGTGCTTCCTTTGTTTCCATAGCAACGGCCTTGAAATATTTTGCCATGGCGAAAATGACCTAATTGTCATCACCATGCAAAATAATTCCATGCTTCCTAAACGTAGAAAAGTTGAGAACGTAACATGGGTCTCATTTTATAGCTGACTAATCAAAGTTTCTTGGCATATAAATTTTATTCAATTTAACTCAAGGTTTTTAATATAATACAGATCAATTGACTCGAAGATTGTCATAAAATTAATACAAAGGTATCTATTTCTTCACGTGCATAGAAATTTTTGCAGGCAATTTCAACTTATAAAAAAGGTTTTTTCAGTAAGATAGAACTTTGATCTAAAAGATACAAAAAGATTTGATATGGGTAAATCAGTTAAATGTTGTTTTCCATTCGCCTGAAATCATCACTTTTCATGAAAATTGACCGAGAGTTATTTCCCTTTGCTGACTCTTTTGCACTGAAGACAAAAAATGGTTGACTCTCCTGTCAAAAGAAGTTTTTAACAACATGTGGAGTGTGAGTGGCAAAACAGACACCAGGAAAATAAACAATGAGAAAATAATGTTTAAGTTGTGAGTGACAAAGTAAGTCATCAATCAATTAATGAAAATGAAAGAGACAGGTCTTGTGAAATATTGGAACAAAATTTATGAAGTCTGACTAGAGGGATTCCATCTATTCTAAAAACCCATACGTATAGATTATGATGCAAATGGGGAAGAAAACATTAAAAAGCAGTGGATACGGCCACCCGGAAATCAGTAGGAATGAATCTACCCTAGGCACAGGTAAAAAAAAATGTAGAAATTTGTGTTTACTGTAGAAAGCAAATTAACTTACTCTTGAAAATCATATAACTATTAATTAGGAGGAGAATGTAATAGTAGATGTAATAAAAGTTTGTGTGTATGAAATGAAAAATTAATATGTGTTTTCGGGTACAGACTACATTGTTGATAAGTGTGTGTGTTTTATTTGGGGGGGGGGGGCTAAAAAATATTTAGGGAAGTGTGTGTAAATTAGAGACGGGCGTAAACACATGCATATTATAAGGCTCTATTCAGTTTGACTGTGAACCCCCCCCCATAATTTTTAATTAACTTTAGCAATATATACACACATTAATAAAATACATATGTAAAAATGATATGCCCTAGCTTGTAGGTATGTATTCATGCAAATTTATTTCATTTTAATAATTAATAATAAATTTATTTTTAGATGTACCAATACAGTTCGAACTATGAAAATAAAGATGAAAAGATACATTGAGAATTCATTTTCAGTAAAAAGCAGGTGAGAATTTTTTAAATATTAAAATTATCTGGTAAGGTAATAAACATTCATCATAATTTAATGCTAATAAAATAAACATTCATCATAATTTAATGCTAATAACTACATGTACCACAGCAAAATTAAATATTTTATTAATGTCGTGATTTTTTCTTATAAAGTCTTGGGATACAATAATTAAAAAAAGAATCAAAATTGGTTGTAGAACCTACTGTGACGATCGGGCTCGGGATTCAATTAAAATCGGGTTTTATCATTAGGCATATGGTTAAGGCCGAGGTTAGTCCGGGTGTCGCTCAAGTATATATAAGAGCGCATCCGAGGTAGTTTGTCATTCTGCGTTCAACTGTCAGAGAAGAAGGTGGCAAAGTAGCAGGTACGGGATTGTAATTTAAAAGACGTTTCATTGTTGATTAATACAACTGCCCAGTGTTGTATTGTGTTTCCTTGCTTATATACAGTGATATTTACTGTATATATTTATTTACCTCTTGTACCTGGCTGCAGCCTGTGTAATATAAAGGGATACAGCCGTCTAGTGACACGGCTGGAGACAGATCCCTGAGATACATACCTCGGACAGAGCCCTGTCAAACACCTCGATCATTGTTCTTTGTTTTTGCTTTGCTTTTACAATAAAGGGATAGATAACCCTAGAAATATATGTATATATTGACTCGTTGTTTTCATATTAATCTTTGTAATTATTTTTCTTTGTAAATCTGATAATTTTTATACATCCCTCATACTGGTCCAAATCATCGGACCCAGAACACGTTACACTACTATGATTGTATTGTTACATTTTAGAACTGTGACACAGGAGCATCACCTGTGAAAGGTTACATATGTTACAAATGACACCAATGAAGGATATATGAGCAACTGTAAGTACACTGTTACATAATTTAATTCAATTTTCTCAACAGAGTCAACACATGATGTATGTTTTAATAAAAAAAATTTCAAAGAGGTTTTAGAATCTTTTTTGTTCTATTTATTAAAAGAAATATACTCTTATCATACTTGATTCACAAGCAAATTTAAAATTAATTGTGGGTACACCTTATAACTTACAAGTATTCAATCAAAATTTGTTCAGGAAAGTTTTTCTTGTATTTACAAATTCATAAATTGAATATGTATTAAACTATTATGCAACTGTACTTGGATACATGTATATATATGAAATAGTATGAATATAAAGTTGCATATAAGGCCTCTAAATAACTATAAATAGAGGAACCCTAAATAGAAATACTAGTATCCAGTGTACAGCAATGAACTGTATAGTTGCAAGTGATTAGGAAATAATCTTTGTTTTTATGTTTTTATTATCTTTTTTTTAACACAAAGGTTTTATACCAGAAACAGGAGGCAGTTACAAAATTAATAAACGAAGACAGAAAACTTGCAAGTGATCCTGAGAACTGAACACCAGACAGTATCGTTACCAAACAGTATTCTTTTGGAGGGAATTCTGTTTAAAGAAATTGGAGATCAGAAGTTTTGAAGTTTGTGATGGTAAATTCACTAAATTGGATAGGTTGCTTTTATCTTCCATTGGTTATACTTAAAATATTTTTGAGGTATTTTTTTTCAAGGTGTAAATACTAACAATTGGTTTAGAATTAAATACATGATAGTGAAAAATATATCAAATTTGTTTTCACATAAAAAAATGTTGTAGATAAATAATGAATTTAAATTAAGGTATAGATGTATGTTTTTTTTATTCCAGGGAAAAAGTCGAAGATGGTTATTTCAAGTGTCACTTTTTAAACCCACTTTCTTCACTGGACAGCCATAACACCACATACAGCAAAACTCGTTTAGTACAAACACAGATATTGTGAATTTACGGATAAAGCGAAGTTATCTTAGATCCCCAACTATATAAATTTGAAAATTCCTTATACAGATATAACAAATTACGGATATAGCAAAGTAATTTCGAAGGTCCCCATGCCTTTGTTATAAATAAGTTTAATTACTGTAACAGTAAACATCTGATGTAAAAAAAAAATGGTAACTTTAAGTCTAGCTGGTTCAACAAAATTGTTATGTAACAATTTTCTTTTTTTTTTTAATACATATTTTGACATATAAATACACATTTTAGATAATGTTAAGAATGAAGATTTTCTTGATTAATAATTTGAAAAAAAGACTATTAATATAAAAGTTGTTATATATACATGTACTGTAGATCACATAATTTTTGCAATTATTTTACCTTATTTTCACAACATTTTCAAAGACTCTTTTTTAAATAGACACATTTTTCACAGATTGGTGTCAATACTCTTTTTAATCTAAAAAAATACTATTTTATGTGAGAATTAATTTTCTGAGAGCACAAAGTCTTGTTTAATAGTGGGAAAATAATGTTCTCGTGAATAAAACTGATAAACAGAATACACATGAGTATGTGTATGTTTACAGATTGTTAGTGATTTTTTCAATGTCTTGTTAGTTTTATAGTCAATTTAAATTCAGCACCTTTTCTCCATTTTGTATCTAGTATTTGAAAATATTGATTAGGGCAAAGTTTCTGTGAAAAGTTTTCAGTATGTTGTTGTTGTTGCAAGGTCTTAAAGATGTATACTAGTATGCGTCAGTCTAGAATTTTCTTTATGTATTCTTATGCTTATATGCAAGCTCACCGCAGCTTGTTTTTTCTAATTTTGTATAAGTCAAATAAAACACTTTCATAGAGATGAATAATGTCATTTATTAAAATGACGGTATAAATGTGAACAATTTAACAAACAAGAAGGGGATCAGATTCACAAGCTTTGATTAGCAGTTACGTAAAATATGATAATGTCTGATCCCCCAAAACTGACTAGAAAAAAGTATCTGTAAGACAAGACAATGAAAACATCATATGAAAAAGTTAGCAAAAAGATGGCACATAAAAACAAAATAGGCCTAGCCCAAGGATAATAGTGAAACAAAATACATAAAAAGAGTATAAACCAGTCGAGTCAGAACTAATGAAATATATGATTTTGCATGACACATTAATACCCATTTTAAGGGGTAGGAATGCAGGGGTGGAGGAGGGTCTTCAAAATAGACGTGCCTCTAATTTTAGCGTGGTCAGCAGGCGGGTTATCACAATACAACTGAATGACTCGCTGAGCTGACCACGTGACCTTACACCTTCTATCACACGTAATCCATCAACCAAGGCGTGGATCTAAGAATTTTTTATATTTTACTGAAATTAATCCTACCGGAAACCTCCAACTAAGTTATCGCATTCAATACACAAATACAATTATTATTCTAAAAATTGTTGTTTGTTTTTCCTCAAGATAATAGCATTAATCCAATCTTAGAATCATAATTTGCTTGGTTTCACTGTGTAACTGTGGAAACCGTAAAAGTTATTTATAGAATGATTTTGCTAACACCTATTTCTTTGAGATCAAACATTTTATTGTTTTTCTTAAGTTGTTATTAAATTTTGGTCAAGTTACACCTAGAATTAGTGAATACTTTGCATTTTTCAGTATTTAAATTGGCTTTCAAACATACCCATATTTACCACTGACTTACATGTACAAATAATTTTCTAAACATTTTCTGTGTAGCATAAAATTAAAACAAGGTGTGTAGTTTTTGTGAGAAAAATTTGTTGGTTTTTCTTAGATTTTATTAAATTTTCAGTAGAGATTTCAAGTAGCCAAAAGTCTCAATTTTTCAAAAATTTCTGGCTGTTTCCATAGCAACCAAGATACCTAGCAACCAAATTTTATTTGATATTTTTATTTTTGGTATCAAGTAGTACTTATGGGGAAAGTTTCATCAGAATTAGTGCATGACAAAGAAGTTTAATTGTTTATAGAAAATGGCTATCAAAGAGCTAATTTTTGCTAGATTTTGAGTTATCTGCCCTTTGTAAGGGATCATTGAGAAACAATAATAAAACAATTAATTTTGTTTTATTTTATTTAATAATTAAAAAAAAAATTGAAACCATTTACTATTCATTTGATTTCTCATATTTATAAGAAAAAACTGTTTGGAAAAGAAATTTTATTAAACAACTAGTGTCTGGTTAAATTTTGAAAAAGACACAAATTATTTGGCAAAATGCCAATTTTCGAAGTTAAAAATATTTTAAACGAATAAAATACCCACTCTACTTTTTATAAAAGCTGAATAACATTATTATAGTGTTTTTAAAATTTCAATTGATTTTTTCTCATAGTGCTTGCAATTCTTGTTAGACCTCTTGAAAAACAGGGTAAAAATCTCCATTTTCGAAATATTAGAATTTGGTCATCTTTGAGCCACCAATTGAAGAATTTGCTGTGACATTTAGAATTTTTTTTATTTGTGTAATATATTGCTCCATATGTTCTGTTCATATAATGTATTATTTATCTTATAAAAATAAAGATGATTATACCATATGAAATGAATTATACAACATTTTTATGTGTGAAATGGGCATAAATGGGACCAAAATCTATTTTTGTCCGTTACCATGGCAACCAAGGTGGTAACCTTAATTTTGAATGTTGATTATGTCATACTGTATGGGCATTAATCACCTGAAAAAGTTTCATTGAAATCGCCCATGGTGTGTGCCACAGCCCTACAGTAAGATTTTGGTCCTTACAGAGAATTGATGTTAATTTCTAAGTCGTAATGACCTTACATGAACCAAGCCAAAGAACGATCTGGGTCTTTTTAAATACCAGATTTGTCAGTATAAGCGACCTCACTTTCCCAAATGAAATTCAAAGAAACTCATAACCGTTTAGGAAATAGACATTCTTATTTATTTTTATAGAATCGTAAAATGCTTCACAGTACATGTTTTATAATAAGAGAACTTTAATGATAAGTATCATTTCTTAGTGTTGCAAACAAAAGTCATTTTCAAAGTAAACAATAGAAAAACATGTTTATGCAAATGTTAATAAGAAGTTGATCAAACAAAGAATTTAGAGGATTAAATATGCAACAATGGAAAATTAAGAGATGGGATCAGGTGCCTAGGAGGATTAAGCATCCCCTGTTCATCGGTCCTACCCGCCGTGAGTTCTTTGTATAGGCTAAATTGTCAAATTAGTATAAAATCAAAGTCCTAAAAATTTGGTATGAAACCAATCAGCCAAAAGTCGACAAATGATAAGTTATGCTTGCTAAAAGGTCATTTTAACAATCATAAAATTTATGAAAACCAGACTTTAAAGGATGTTAAAATGCATTTATGTGTTTTGTTTTTTTTTATCGATTTATTGAAAAGTATGAATACAAGAAGCAAATTGACCTCAAAACAATAACTGAGATGAAACTAAAATATACTGTTTTATTTAGAAAAATATTTCAATTGAACTTAAAGTTTTATTTAGGAATTAAAAACGTAATCAAGAAAATCATTCCAAAGACATATTGCTTATTTATTTTGCCCTTAGCGGGCACATGAACTCTTATTACTGAACAATTACCGTCAGATTTAAATGTTTTCCCCCCCTTTTTTTTGCATGCCAAAGTCTCATTTATAACGCAAGTTTCCCTACATAATTATATCTAACCTCGGTCCCTTTTGACATGTCAACAAAAAATTCACTTGGCAGTGAATTTCTAATATTCTTTTACACATGTTTTAAAGCAAAAAACAATACAGAATTTTTTTTTTTAATTTTGCATTCTTACAAACTATGAATTCAAATACTGAAGAAAGTTTTCATTGTAAAAATACAATGTAGAAGACCCAATTAGTCAATTAGTTGCGTGATAATCTTGCTGCATATTTGTATTGAAATATTTGTTTATATCTATGAGAGATAGTGTTTCCTTGTACATGTATTTTACAAAATGATCAGATTAATAATATTCTCCCTAATTTGATAAGAGATGTTATGTAATATCAGTGAACCATTTATCATCAAGATCTGCAAGGGACATCTTTTACTTTAAAGTATTTCAAAGAACACATATACTGCACAGATTTTTATACCAGATACTTTTGCTTAATATTTTCCAAATTTTTTGATATAGAATGTCAATGATAATTTGAAAGGATAGATAAGAGTACTCGTCAAATTTAACAGGTGTAACAAGAGAAATCGATTTACTTTAGTTACTTAAGTGACCGTCCCAACTGAAGCAATCGTCACTATCTATCTTTGATGTATCACCTTATCAAGTAACTTGTAAATCTGACACTGACAGGGATTTAAATCAGCAGATTTCTATCTAGTTTTCTATCCTTATATTTTACGATTGCGCATGCCATATATTAGGGGAAATAAAAAAAGTTCAAAAATACTTCAATTCTTTAAAGTGTCGTTTTATGTGCTATTTCCTTTGTTGTAAAGGACATGTGGTTTTTATTTTAAAGCTAAGTTTGAAAAGACTTTTTGAGTATATCAAAAAAGGAATTATCAAATGAACGAAAACTTTTGGAGTGGAAAAACTGGGTGACAAAAATTGAAATTTACATTTAATTCAATTAATTTTTGGGAACAGTGTGTGATGTGTGATTTTCTTAGATATTATAGTGTGAGATACGACTGCTATGCCTACCTATAACTGCTCAGATCCAAATAGCATTCCAAACGGCTATTATGTAATTGATAAAACGTATTATCAAGAAGGCGACCAGGTGTATTTCATCTGTCATTCCTCGTATATTTTGGAAGGAAACCCAACCTTTACTTGTGATGGTACAACAGGAAATTGGTCAGGAACATATCCAACGTGTTCTTCTAGTACGACGACTTCAACGACCACCACAACACCCGCTAATGAAGGTACAACTCTGTCTGTCAAAATATCAGCTTCCTTTGGACATCTCTTTAAAATTCAGACGGAATTCGAAGTGATATTTTTTTCAAAATAATCAGAATATCATCTTCCTTAAGACATCTCTTTCAAATTCAGACGGAATTCGAAGTGATATTTTTTTCAAAATAATCAAAATATCATCTTCCTTAAGACATCTCTTTCAAATTCAGACGGAATTCGAAGTGATATTTATTTCAAAATAATCAAAATATCATCTTCCTTAAGACATCTCTTTCAAATTCAGACGGAATTCGAAGTGATATTTATTTCAAAATAATCAAAAAATCATCTTCCTTAAGACATCTCTTTCAAATTCAGACGGAATTCGAAGTGATATTTTTTTCAAAATAATCAAAATATCATCTTCCTTAAGACATCTCTTTCAAATTCAGACGGAATTCGAAGTGATATTTATTTCAAAATAATCAAAGTATCATCTTCCTGAAGACATCTCTTTCAAATTCAGACGGAATTCGAAGTGATATTTTTTTCAAAATAATCAAAATATCATCTTCCTTAAGACATCTCTTTCAAATTCAGACGGAATTCGAAGTGATATTTATTTCAAAATAATCAAAATATCATTTTCCTTAAGACATCTCTTTCAAATTCAGACGGAATTCGAAGTGATATTTATTTCAAAATAATCAAAATATCATCTTCCTTAAGACATCTCTTTCAAATTCAGACGGAATTCATAGTGATATTTATTTCAAAATAATCAAAATATCATCTTCCTTAAGACATCTCTTTCAAATTCAGACGGAATTCGAAGTGATATTTATTTCAAAATAATCAAAGTATCATCTTCCTTAAGACATCTCTTTCAAATTCAGACGGAATTCATAGTGATATTTATTTTGAAATAATCAAAATATCATCTTCCTTTAGACATCTCTTTCAAATACAGACGGAATTCATAATGATATTTAAAATTTGAACAGTTTATTAATAACTCATTTTTCTTACAAAAAGGGAAGTGTTACCGTTTGAAACGAAACGCATATTTATATCATTATAATTTTATTAGCATTCTTTTGCTACATTTTCTGACACTGATTTAAAAAAAAATATTGAAATAAATTATAACGTTAAAACACCAAAGCAAGAAATATGAAGAGTTAAAAAGATTAATTTTAATTTCTGAATTTAAAATATTGACTTGAAATGGTTATATCTGAGTTTGGTTAAATAGCACATCTTCTTTTTTAAAAACCAAATGTAAATGAATTTCTAGTAAATAGACCTGTTTCATTTGCAGCTATCTTCATTTAATAAGTAGTTTAATTTCTGTCAGTTTAGAATGAGAGATTTTGGTCTTCATTTTAAAACTTATTTGGAGAGAAAGAGAGAGAGAGAGAGAGAGAGATGTTGGTTTGCCGAAAGATGATATTATTGAAATAGGCCCAATCATGATTGCTAAGTCCAAAGTCCACAAAAAATAAGCATAAATTTGTTTTTATCTTTAAAAGTCACAGATCAAAATGTTTATGTACGAGGCAATGTAATCTTCGTTTAACGTTATTGGATAAAATAGATAAATGTACATGTACAAAGAAAAACGTCTTTGATAATTTTTATCAAAAATTGTAAATTAAAGGAATAAACCAATTATCAAAACTTCAGAAAGCGATACCAGATACAGTGCTACCTATTATTTTTTATTTCTCGTTCTTTATAACATTTAAACATTCCGTGAAAACTACAATCAAAAATGTTTATAAACATTTTAAAATCTTGTTCGTGGAAGGTAATAGTAACATAGGCGCCATTTCAGCTCCGTGTTTATAACAGGAAACAGATGTGCCTTAAATATTGTTTGGATGATGCCCCCATTAAATAGTTCATACATGTAACCTTTTATGTATAATTTGTATTATTCATTTAAGAACATATCATACAAACTTTTGTTAATTCTTTTCAAATAACTACTAGTTAGTCTTAATTTTTAATATTTTTTATAAGAGTAAAATAAATAAGTTAACCGAATAGATTTTTTATTTTTTATTCAAATTTCAACAATAGAGATTTTAAGTGACAAAAATTTGTAAAGAGATATAAGAATGGTAGTTGTAAAGTAGAATTTTGAACACCTTAGAAACTTTACATTTTAAAAAAAATAATTTAGAAATTTATCATTCTCGTCATTTACAAATGAAATAGGTAAAAAATATACATACTGATCCAGGAATCCATTTTTTGTTTATGTCATTTGTCCTTGAATAGAGAAAATTCAACACCACCAAAAGTTAATAAGTATTTATTTTTATGTGGTGTGTATTCTCGTGGCATAAATTATGGGTCACCAAACAACAAATAAACACAAGATGGACAGACCAACAACAACAACAAATCAGGTAAATCAGATGTAACAAAAAAATCAATCAATCATAAATTAAATTCAGCAATTATAAACAAAATAACCACCCCGGGTATAAGTAAATCTTTACTACATAACAATCGGCAAAAAATATTTTGATTCAAAGTACAGTTTTTAAACAAGTTATCAATCCACGTCAAATAGGAATTCAGTTCCGATCAGCACCAAAAAATTTTCTCATTCACTGTCAACCATATGTCAAATATTATTTGTCTCACGTTAATAGTTCTCATAGTGTACGCATATGCCAAATGGCTTCAAACGAGTAAACGTTTGCAGTCACCCCAAAAGGGATCAACTATTCAACTGATCTACAACAATACTAAACTCGAGCTCTCGAGTTCTCAGTTATTTGCTTCCAAATGTGATGATTCTTTTTTTTTTTCGGAAGTATTATATACCCCTTCCTCTGAATAGTGATAAGAAATACGAAATTCTCTAGGTTAAAAAGGTGAACAGCATCTTTGAACCAAAAGGGAAATAAATCTTGCATAAATTATGGAAGATTTATATAACAACCCCCCAAACCAAGGACATATTAGGCGAGAACTGTGTTAAAGCGAACACGGGCTCTTAACATTGCTGACCTCTGACCAATTAGAGAATTTGGGAAATATTCTATACTAAGGATTTCGTCATTTTTGTTTCATGTTACTTTTTTTTTTATTTCAGAATGGTTTTACGTAGGAGTAGGAGTGACGTCGTTCCTGGGACTGTTGTTAAGTCTCCTCGTCCTTTTATTGTGCGTCAAGTTTTGTTATCGTCTTTGCAGGTGTGTAGAAATCAAAGACACGTGCATAAAACGTTTGATTCTTATAGCATATGGATAATGATATTTGCAATTTGGTATGTTTATGCTTAAGGTAATAATTTTCAAAACACGTTGCAGAAACGCCCCCATTTCAGTTAGTAAATACGTGTAAATTATATCTACAGTGAGGAATAAACATATTTAAAAAAACTTGCAGATCTTGAACATACATGTATAACCAACATCCACAACCACCAAAGTGGTGTAAATCAGATGTGGATATTAAAAAATGCGAAGGAATTTTCTGACATTTGAAACCACAAAGTTTTATGAACATTACAACATAAAAACTTACGAATTTTAAAGTTTAAATTAATCTATTCCCCACGATAAGTTAAAGTCCAGATTTTTTTTACACCATTGACAGCTGCTTTTTGAATAAAAATGGAACTGTAAATTTACTTACCTTGTCATTTGTCATTTGCAAAATTACGTCTACTTTGTTAAAAACATTCTGACTGTACGCAAACACTCTGAAGTTGATATTAAATGGATGCTCGAATTTCTGATTGAGAATATATATGTGGTTTTTGGAGACCAGGTTTCCAACAATCTATTAAAATTTCCGTGGGAAACAATTGCTCCCCGTTAAAAGCAGACATATTTTCTGTATTGATATGAAGCCGAATTTGTTCAAATTTTTAAAGTGAAAAGAAAAAGAAACACTTGCTGTGGCCTTCGACTCGACATTTTGATATATCGACGACGTATCTTTAATAACCAATGATTATTTGCATTCTTATGTCGATACGATATATCCTTGTGAGCTTTACATAAAAGATACCAAAGAGTCTGACACATCTGTATCATATCTCGATACTTTACTTCAAAGTGACGTTAATGGTAATCTTACATCAAAGTTTAATGATAACTTTTTAATCGTCAAATTCCCATACGAATGCATTAATTTACATTTATCACCTGCATTCGGAGTTTATATCGCTCATTTGAATCGATATGCAAGAGTATGTACAATATCTAAAACTAGGTAACTTACTAACAAACAAGGTGATGAAACACGGATATCAGCAGTTTCGTTTTAAATCATCATTTCGTACTAAGTTCTTTGGTCGTTACAATGACCTTGTCAGCAAATACAATATTTATCATCAAGTCAAATGCTGACTGACGTTTTTCATACTAATTAATAGGTCATTATATGCACACTGAATTGACGACGAATTTTTTCCGTTATTTTCTGATCATGACAAGGAGCACACGACGAACGTGACCGGTCGGCAGGGTATGCTCACTCCACCATTGCACCTCTTAAGTTTTGGAGGTCCACTTTTTTTCCATTCCAATCTTGTATTGTTGTTACCTTTGAGATTGAGATTGACCACGGATATTTCCTTTATTTCACAATCATGACAAGGAGCACACGGCGTGTGTGACAGATCGTCAAGGAATGCTCACTCCACTATGGCACCTGATCCCACCTCTGATGCTTTGGAGATTCGTGTTTACTCCCCTCCTATTTTGTAATGTTTTATGGACTTTTGAGCTAAAATACTGTTCGTTATCTCCAAATATTTCACCCTTTTTTAGGAACAAAGCCTTGTTTTTTTTTAGTTATTTTGTACTGATTAATGACAACTCGAAAATACTGGATAAACTGAAAGCGATAGATCAATATTTTGACAACAGTTTTGGAGATCAGGTCTTCAAACAATCTGTTGGAATTCTCTAAGTTATGAACTGTGCCCCATTTTTTGCAGGCCTATTTTTGTGATAATATGAAACATGACGTTTAATTTTATTCAATATATCAATTTAAAAACTTACATCCATTCAAATGTCCACCGGATGTTTCCAATGATCTTGAAATTAAAGATACCACGAAGTCTGACACTACTGTCTCATATCTGGTTATTTCAATAGCAAAAGACGTAAATTGTAAATTAACCAAGCTTTATGATAAACGCAATGTCATCAACTTTTCAATCGTAAGCTTCCCTTACTTATGTAGGTACGCCAGAGCATGTTTTCTGTATAAACAATTTCTGAACGAGGTGAGGTATTAACAAACAAGTTGATGGAACAAGGATATCAACAGTTCCGTTTGAAGTCATCATTACGCAAATTTGTTAGTCAATACAATGACCATGTCTGATAATTCAACAAATCATCCCTAATTTTCAATTTTGAGCACACAGTAGGGGATTTTCACTCCTCCTTAGTAACTGACCACTCGTTTGATGATTTAGGGGTCGGCGTTTACTCTGACCTAGATTTGTATAGTTTTCATGGACTTTGAGCATGAGTACCCATCGTTTTCTTCATATGTCGTTATATAAGAACTTCATTTTTTTTAAATTCAGGAAACGTTCGAGAGTGAGCGCACTTCACGGAATCAATGAGGAGGTAGAATTAGGATGCTGCTATGCATGTTGTGCCAGATGTTGTCTAAAATGCTGCAAATGTTGTCGAAATGACACTGACGTCATTCCAAGAAACACACCGAGAACGAGGCAGCCAAAGCAAAGCATTAAACAGACCTACGATTCATCACCGGTTCTGACTTTTGCTTCTGAGGAGGGATCAATCTCGACTCATATGATGCAGAAAAAGGAGATTAAAACAGCGAAAGAGATTATAGCCTGGAAACCGCACTCAAATCCACTTCGAAACATAAACACCAGCACTAAATAAAAGCAAGAAAAAAAAGCTGAACTGTTAGTACATGTACATATATTACCACTATCAGTAGTTGAAAATGGATTTAAGTATTTCATTACTTTTTATTTATAAAAAATGTAACTATTCTAATTGTCTCTAGGTAATGTTTGCTGTACATTTGTTGTGTTAAAATTTTCTAGAAAGTCATGTTTCTAACCATCCCTAAATGACAGCTGTCAACAGATTCTTGGTAAAAGAGGTTTAGATTACGTAGATGAATTATTCAATTTCAAATCGTGTTCTTTGTCAATAACAGAATCTTCAGCATTTACATTTCATTATAAATATACATGGACCAAACAAACTTATCATTAGAATTATGTTATGAACACTTGCAAAGTACTTGATGAACAAATTGACCTCCAATTTTTGCTTGATTTTACACATCTATAAAATGAATTAGGATGTAAATAAATTAATATTTACATGGAAGTAAAACCATTGCTAAAGGTAATTGCCACTTTTGAACGATTCGTGAAATAATGTGATAAAATCAAGCATTTCTATTTACACAGACTACAAATAACCTCTTATTTGTAGAATCAAGTGCATTAAATCGAATAATGTTTAAATAAGTTGTGTATATTGCATTTAAAGTTTCCGATAAGTGACAAGTTCGGAAACGAATTTATGTACATGTTACACATTGTCATTTTGATTTGTTATAATTCTGTATCTTAACTGCATGTTTAACCTATAGAATAAAGGAAGGGGATCATGCTATATTTTTGTATGACAATTTAAAATGTACCAGTTGACGTCATGTCCTAATACCCAGTGTCTGAGGTGTTTTTGCATTCTCCCGGGTGTTCCGATATAAATTATTGTTAATCTTATTGCAGAACGTTTCAGGTATATTTTAAATACTTTTGCCTCTCCCCTTCCTCCTCACTCTCTGTCTCCGTCTCTGTCTGTCTCTGTGACAATAGTCGAAGGAAATATATATATAGTGCCATATACCGTAAATCTGGAAATTTTTAAGTCGATTTTATTTTGCGAATCTGGGTCAATGTGTTATTGATTAATTTCTACTTTTCAAAATTTTGCGAATGACTACTTTGTTAACATTTTTTTTTTATTGTTGAATTATTTTTAAGAAAAATATATTTGCGAATGCAATGAACTCGCAAATTTGCTAAAAAATTATCTACAGCAAAAAGATTTACGGTAGGTATAATTGTCAACATTAAGGATGATTTTAAAATGAATCTTTATTTCATTCATTTAAATTCATATTGAAAGAATACTAAGAATTGATAAAAATTGAAATTAATACTACAGTACATTATTTTTTATTGCCCATCAGCAGTTTTGGATTGTTTACTTATAAAAGAACCGTCTAAGATGAAGTGGTCTACTATTCAGCTAGAATTGTCTTATTTGTACATGGATGACCTATTAAACATGTCTGCTTGTTGACTGACGATTTTGGCCTTTCACTTCGGTTCCATCCTTTGGTATTTTAAACTCATAAAGTAAGGAGACGCCTGATAAAGCAGGATATTTAAACCCTTCAGCCAGGCTTCGCACCCGTTAAAGAGTAATTCTAACCTCACAGATTTAACAGACTTCACTAAGATACTGCAGGCTAAACATCAAGTGCATTTATATCGAGTTACAGAGCAACATTCCAAAACCTGTTCAGTTTCGTTGGACATTTTACATCTGTATAATCTTAAACCAATTTTCTTTAGAATGTTAACATTTCTTATGAGGAATCAAAGGATAAAATCTGTTAACTGAGTTGATTTTTTCCGATACAATTTCATAAATCGGAAGTTTAAACTTTTTTTGAGATTTGTCAGTGGACTTTACTAATAGGAGTGACGTTGGTATCTATTGAAAAGGATTTAATAAAAGTACATGATGTACCTTAGAAGAAGATATATTTCGATACATCTGGAAAATTGAGAATAAAATATCCCTTTAAGAACAATTCGTAAGGACAACTTCTCTCACTTTAATCATGTCTGCGTATAACTGTTCGGATCCAAGTTCCATCTCGAATGGCTACTATGTAGTAGACAAGACTTATTATGTGGACGGGGACCAGGTCTATTTCGTGTGTCACTCCTCCTATACTCTAAATGGGAACCCTGTATTTACGTGTGACGGGACGACAGGGAACTGGTCGGGAACCTACCCTACGTGTTCCTCTACCACCACCACAACCGCAGCTCCAGAGTATGAAGGTATATATTAGGTTTAAGTGCTGGTATAATGCTTTTTTAATCATTTTTCTTTCATGTTTTTCGGCTTTAATTTTATTTAACAATATATAAGATGGACATGAAAAAGATTTCGATTTTCAATAATTTAAGTGTACCAATCACCATTATAAAATATACATTAATAATTATTATTATAATTATAATTTACTAGTGAATTTAGTAATGAAATAAAATTTTGACTAAAAAGAAGTGAAAATCTAATAAATAAACTATTAGATATATCCTTTTTAATTTTTATTATACTTTTTGGTTTGTTTATTTGACTTCGTTTTAAATTTTTTTAATAATTGGCTATGGCCTTAATAAATTTTCCTATCCCTTTTTTTTTTTTTTGTTATTCACAATACTTACACCGTTTTCAGATGTTTACATTTTATTGTTATTATCCTCTTTTGGTTTTAATACATTTTGAAAATATTAAACATATAAAAATTCTATTTTTAACACATTTAAACCGCTTATGACTTTATGATAGATGTTTAATTTTTAATCCAATCGAAATACAATAATATTACGATTGAAAAACAAAATATGTTAATTTAAAAAAATATTGGTTTCCATATGATCTACGTCAAAAACAAATCGACGATACATTAATATTGAAAATTTTAATGTTTTTTTTTTCTTTTTTAAGGAAATTAATTATCTTTTAATTCAAAATAGAAAATTGAATTCAGAAGGAATTAATTTATTGGATATCCGAGGTATGCTCATAACATTGGTTGGACAAGAATCTTGATCAACATTAGTCTCTTTATGAAGTAAATTATGTTCCAAACCAGATAAAATTAATTCTAATAAACGTAGATAACTTTTTAAACTTATTCCTTTAAAACATGCATTTCATATCTTTGCGTCATTGATATAAAGTGATTCTAGCATAGATTTATCTTTAACTCTTACGAGTGACCAAATGATCTCTCTTGATGTTGTTTTATTCGATGTCTGGCTCTTGTGGTAAACAAACTGGCGATAAACGATCACAAAGCCCCTCCTAATTTTAATATCATCCCTGGAAGATGAATGTAATTAATTGATCATTTTAAAAATTTAAGATATTTGTTTAAGGGCCATTATCCAATATAACACCTCGGCATTTGCGCAATCTCTTTCCAGAAGTCCCCCACTTCACTATTTCTCGTTATAAAAAGTACGTCGTTCAAGCACTACCTTTAAATCGTTCAAAGGATGACAATTTTATTATACGTTTTATTGCGTAATATAACCTTTTGAAAGAGATTTAATTTGCTTGCTTGACGTTAGATATTTTGAGGGCTTTCAGTTAGTATTATACTGATGTCAATATTGTTTCGATTTAATTTATGCTAACTTTCAATTGAGTTTTTCAAAGTCGGTACTAGATAAAGTGTTTTGCATTTAACATTCCAATCAATTTCTTAAAATGAACGCTTTTTTAATCATTTTTCAAATCGTTGCAGAATATAAAATATCCCTTTTCATTGTTAGTGATGCAAGTTATTTCTCGAAACATTAAATGAAATTTGAGACACATAAAATTGATTATGTGAACATTTTTCTTTTCCAAAAATGCTCTTCTTCCGGCAAGGCATAGAAACTCAAAAAAAGAAAAGAAAAAAAATGGAAAAAAGTATGAGATGATTTTGCAGTCAAAAAATTAATGATTGAATTACAGAGCATCTGATGACCTATTTCCAGCCTTGAATCTCCTGTGATGTAAGATTAATTTTGGTCTACTTTTATTTATTCTTTTAATTTATATTATTTTTTTCAGAATGGTTATACGTGGGAATCGGAGTAATTTCATTCATAGGTCTTATCCTTCTGCTGATTTTACTCTTATTGTTCTTGAAATATTGTCTCCGACTGTGCAGGTAAAACAATGATTTAAATTTTGATATGTGTTTCAAACTTTAGGAGGAAATAAATTATTATACTAATTATAAGACTGTACTATTATAAGACCTATCTTTCATAAATCTCTAACTTATACGGTAACAATTTAAGCTCTAAAATATCTACATATATTTACCGGGTAATGTATGAGTAAACAATATTAAAATCAGACTTCTAAGAAATAATTGTTAATTTGGTTGTTTCTAGAAAATGGTCACGCGTGAGTGCACTCCATGGAATCAATGAACAGGTAGAGATCGGATGTTGCTACGCCTGCTGCACGAGATGTTGCATGAAATGTTGGTCCTGCTGTCAAGAAAACGGTGACGTCATAACTGAGAAAGGGAGTAAACCAAAAGCAAAACAAGTTCCTAAGCAAAATTATGCCTCGTCAAATGGAAATTCGGTGTCAGTGATTTCAGAGGAAACGGCGGAAACATCGGTTACACCATCCTTAATCAGAAAAGACGTGAAGCCAGCCAGAGAACTCAACTCATGGATGCCACACACCCATGGTGTCAGAAATATCAACACAAGTACCAAATAAGAATACAATTTTAAGGCATAACGGCCTGTAAACGCAAACTAAATTTCTGGAGTTGTGTAATTTTTGCGTCTTTATTTCCTTTTTTATTATTTTTTAATTTTATTTTCTGGACAATTTCTTCTAACCGAAGATGGTATCTTATTAGGTGATATGATATAATTATTTTAGTGAGCTATTCAACGTAATAGAAAACACAACTGTATTTGTACCAAATATTTATACTGTGATAAAGGATTTAATTGCTTTGAACAATTTCATTTGTTATGAATTATTTTGTCACATATAATTTTGCTATTACTTATTTTATCTAGAGATTTATCTAATAAAATATGTTACGGTCACCACTTCATTATCAATAGCTTAAAAATATGGTAAATCTATGTATATGATCGCAAATATTTTTTTTTTAAATCAGTCAAAACATTTTGAAAGAAGTGATTTTGCACTGATATATGATCCTTATAGGCGTAGGAACCTGGGGGGGTTATCCCCCACATTTTTGCAAATATATACATAATATAGGCAATGAAAATTGGTGTTTACCTTTTTTGTTGGTTTAGCCCCCCCCCCACCACCACCTCTTTCAATTAGCCCCCCTCCTCTTTCAATTTGCTTCCGATGCCTATGATCCAATTTACCAGAAAACCCTCAAATCCTAATGCTTCATAGAATTGAATTACATGATCAATCTATATTTACATTTATATTTGCATTGCTAAAAACTAATACCGTGACATATCAACTATAGTATACAAAATACAAATGTATTTTTGATGCCTGAGAACCACATAAACTAAACGTGTTCCTTGGATATGTTATCGTAAATCCTAATATATGTATTTGAAAAATTGTCATAAATTATCACCTCTTCTCTATTCAGAAAGCTTTATTTTAAATATTTGAGATGTTGGGAGGTTCCATTATTTATGAACAGTGAGAAGACAGGTATTGGAGAGGAATTTAAACAAATGCTTCTTAATTTGATTTCCAAATCATAAAATCGATGTACTTTCTTGAAGGGTTATCAATAGACCGAAGAGCTGTCGGATGAGTGGTGTGTTATTAAAACTGATATATTCCGGTGTCTCCCGTATGACGTGAAATTATATTTCATGTGAAAATACCTTCAAAATTACCGTCGGGATGGCGTGCTGACCATTTGGGAACTTCAATGCAGTGCTATTTATCGATCTTAGCTTTGATTCAATTGTAGAAATTTGTTCTAAAATACGGTTATTAACTAAAAATGTACACGAGAGAATAAAATATTTATTAAGATTTTCATTTGTAAAATTGTAAAATATTTTCATAAAAATAATTTTTTACTTGTGTATACGATTATTGAAAATTGTTCCTTTTTTTCAACAAACAAGGACTATAGCTTTAAAAATTCTTATAATTAACTTTGCATTTCCGTTCAAAGCAAGCACGGACCTTCAAAACATCAGAGGTGGGATCAGATGCCACGGAGGAGTGAGAATCCTACGAAAGCCCAGAAGGTGATTCGACGTCGAAATTCGAAATTCGAGATTCAAAATTATTTCGTCAGATTGATCAAACTGGCCAAGATTTGAGATTCAATTATCCCCTTTATTATTTTTTACTATTAAGAAATCGTTGATGAATATTATACATTTGATTAAATTTCAACGCAATCAAATTGTATATTATCAAAACGAAATTTAAAGAAATATTGGATTTTGGTCTGCAAGATTTGCTTAATTAATTCATAAAAGCTTCTTGAATGTCAAAAGAGATTTATATAAGGAATATATATATATTTCGTATTATCTACTTTGGATACAGGATTGTTGACATAATAGTAAACTTAGATTAACAGAACATGCATCCCCCCTTTTTTCCAAACATAGTTTTTTTTACTATTGAAAATGTTCATCGAAAGGTCGGTTAGAAAACCATATAATATTCTATATACGTATGTATTGTTTTGTTTAATGAGGAAAAATAAGAATTTATATATATTTTTCAAAATGTAACCCAAAATTCCATTTTATTTCGTTTTAATACATATATCATTTTTTCTTGCATTATTATTTAAGCAAATGACCCTTTGTTATGAATATATTCAACAATTTCTTGAAGTAAAACATAATAAAGGGGATAATCAAAGTTGAACCTTGTTCCTGCCTTTTGATTGGTTAATTTTATCTTGAATACTCGATTATGATTTCGAATCTCGCATTTCGAAACTCGAATCTCGAATGAGCCTTCTGGGCTTTCGCAGAATCCCTTGCCGACTGGTCACACCCGTGTGCTCCTTGTCATCATCGGAAAATAGCTGAAAAATCCGTCTTAAATTCAGGGTATAAAAATCAAATAACAATAAGTATGAAAAACGTCAGTCAGCATTTGACTCAATGAGAAAATGTGTTTGCTGACAAGGTTATTGTATCGACCATAAAACTTACCAAATGTAAAATACGTTAAAATCTCTAAACTACACTTCGATTTAATTGTTAATTAATGATGAAAAAATATATGAACTTTTTGTTCATGCAAGATTTATTTTTTAATTTGAACCTGATTGTACATACAAGTACTCTGAAGTTGAAATAAAAAAAAAAATGGGTGAGTTTCTTATTGATAATCTATTTGATTTTGGAGACAGTTTCTTCCAGCAATCTATTGAAATCCCCATGGCCATTTGCACCCCGTTATAAGCAGACCTATTTTGTATTCATATGAGACTGAATGTGTTCAAAATCTTATGCGTCAAAAAAACTTGCTGTGGCCTTCAACTCGAATTTTATACATATCGACGCCGTATTGTCAATAACCAATGGTTATTTGACATATTTCCATTCTTATGTTGATACGATATATCCCGGTGAGCTTGAAATAAAAAATAAGACTGATACATCTGTTTTTAATATTTACATATGTAACTTGAAAAAGCCATTAATGGTTATCTAACTTTGAAGAGTTTATGATAAACGTGATGACTTAATTTTTCAATCATCAACTTCCCTCTAAGTCACTTATGCAGCAATATACATCCATCACCTGCATACGGAGTTTATATCTCTCAGATGATTAGATAAGCAGAGGAGCATGCTCTACATATGAACAATTTCTACAACGAGCTTAATTTTTGACGGACAATTAGTTGAATCAAGAATATCAGCAGTCTCGTTTAAAGTCATCATTTCGTAATTTCTGTGTCATCAAACACAATTTATCATTTGTCAAATGCTGACTGATGTTTTTGGATTTTCCAAATCATGACAATCGAGTACTCAGTATTACCGGTTTCTCCTTCATGGCACGTCAATAGATCCCAAAGCAATTTGTTGGAGGTTGGTGTTTGCTCTGCTCTAATTTTGTATTGTTCAATGGACTATTGAGCTTGAATACTGTTCGTTATCTCCAGATATTCCGTTGTGAGCTGTATTTTAGGGAGCAGATTCCTGTCCTGTGCTTGACAAAAACCATGCAGCTGCTCGGCATTCATTAATTCGGTCTTTAGTGTTTTGATGCGGAAGGAGTTTGCATGTGGATTTTTGTACTCATGTGGAGTTTTGATTTTTTTTAATTGAAACGATTACTCTAAAGAAAAGTTTGTTTTGAATTTATAGGGCATACAAGATTGTGTTGTTTTAGATTGATAATTCATCAAACTATACTGTAGTTGAACCATTACGTTAAGGAAGAGTTTACATTTTGTTGAATCATAAAATAGCGTGTACTTTATAAATTACCTTCCAACAATCAGCAGAGCCTCTGTTAAACGCTTCTATTATGCAATTTAGGACCCATTGACAATTATATGTAATTTCAATGTAAACATTCGTTGGTCTGTCAAGTTTATTTAACACTTTGGTAGTCAGCTTAGGCATGTGGCTGAGTGTTTAATTGTTTTAATTCTATTCCTCGCAGACATGATATCAACAAAATATACAAATTTAAAGTAGCGCTATTTTCAGATGGATTAAGGGAATGAGATTTTGTCAGCAAGATGATCACGATATTTTAATTAGCATATATGATTTAAATTGACTCACACAATTAGAGTGACTGTCTGAATACCATTTAGTTGTTTATCATGTTTTATAGAGTTGAATTTCAACAAGATTTATTAAATAATTATTCAGAGTTTATAGAATTTCCCTGTCTCAATATTTTAACCCCTTTCTTTTTGACAATTTGTAACGTTTATGTATATATATTTGAATATAATTGATAGTTGCAGTAAAGAGCTGTCATATTTTTGCATTTCAGCGATTATGTGCTACCCCCTTTTCAACAAAAGAAGTGTCAAATGTTAGAAAACACTTTCGAACTTAAAGGTATTCCACCCTACCCCAATAAATTAATAATTCAATCTTTTAAAAAAAATGCGAAAGGCAATAGCTTCTTCGAATATATCTTCATTCATCACTAACATTTATTGTGCTACTTTTGTAAACTGCTTGCCCTGTTATTCGCAATTCAAACATATTTGTACATAAATACTAATTTTAGAAATTTCCGCATCAGGTCTATGCATTTGAACCAGTTTTAACCTAATTTTTGCATTTAGTTACTGTCTATTCAAATTAAACAGATTTTTAATGTTGGCATATGCTTCTGTTTATTCATATCTAACATCTTCAGAATCATGGCAATCTACATATTTTTAGCGATAATTAAACTATATTCCATAAAATTCAATTTTTCTACTTTGAACCCATAAAATGATGGAAAGCTTTATGGATGTGTGGGATGTGAAATACCTTTAAAAATAGTGTGAAAATCATAGCTAGCTTATCCGATTTCAGTTTGTCGTTATCTTTGTAAACTTTTTACCTTTTTGATGCTACTAAAGTATTTGTAGAGGACGATGAAATGTTAAATTAAACAAGCAAATTCAAAGAATTGTGGTCCCCCGCTTTCGGTGTCTTTTTGGGTGAGATGTCATTTTTTATGACATTTTGTAAAATGAACGTTATCATAAGTCATCTATTTACAAATTATCTAACTCCAAGGTCAAGGTCAAAGGGTTAATGTTCTTGGTATCCAATGAAAATTCTTTTTAAAAGGACTACATATGTGAAGTAT